ATCACTGAAACATTGAGGTTTGTCACCTTAACGGTGTGGAGTGTTGGAGTACATACATTTATTTGCGATAGCAGACTTGGAGTCTGGAGCCCACATATTGATGGGTTGCTGGTCATGACTTATAAGCCCACAGTGAACAACTTCTGGGATGTGCGCAAAACATGGGCCAGGGGTGGTCATGGAGTGCAGTGTATGACTCATGTAAACAATGTAAAACATGTGCCAATGTGGTCATGGAATGCAGTGTACGAGTCATGTAAACCAAGCAAAACATGGGCCAGGGTGGTTATGGAATGCAGTGTACGACTCATGGAATGTGTGCAAAACATGGGCCCGGGTAGTCATGGAGTGCAGTGTACGACTCATGGAATGAGTGCAAAACATGGGCCAGGGTGGTCATGGCCTGCATTGTTGCATCATGGAATACCATGCACAATATGACCTGGTCATGTTCCGCATATTTATGAGCAGGTACATGACCACCTTTATGACCTCATGGGGTCATAAAGTGGAGCCATGACTGAATACGGTCATATTGCGGTCCCATGACCTGTCATAAATCCCATCATAAATGACATCATGACCACGCATTTCATGACCCCAACCAGTCATATCCTGCACTTGCTTATGCAAACTATGAACTGATCCATGACCGGATCCATGACTTAATGACAAATTATGACCGGATCCATGACCACATACATGACCAAATCCATGACTTGATGGCAAATTATGGCCGGATCCATGACCGCATCCATGACCAAATCCATGACTGGAAAACCCATCCATGACCAAGTCTTTCCCCGAGTGACTGGGGACGGAATTGCTGGGTGAACCCGCTTTTCTGTTTGCTACTTAAAGTCCTCCGGCATGCAGAACTGTGCAAAGCGTGCATCTGTCTGATTGTCCCCCTCTGGCCGATGCGCGACTGGCGGTCCTATCTGACTCAAGACGGGGAGTGGTTTGCACCTTGTGCCCACGGCCTAAGAGAGCTGGGCAAGGCATATGATCTCTTCCTGGCAGGGTCTTCGGGAAACGAGGTTACAAAAGGGGCTGCTAATTGGCTGTCGCTTGCATTCCTCATCGATTTCCAAACCCCATCCTCATGCCGGATCACTGCACCCCCCGACCCTTATGCCCCCCGGCTTTCACAGGAGTAAGGGCACGCATGCAGACACTGCTTGGCCAGGTGCCCTTGGACGCTAACCCAATGATCCTGGGTCTAGCTCTGGCGTTGGCAAGCCAGGCGCACAAGGCGCACGCTAGCAGCACGGTCGCCCAGTACAAGGAGCCATGGCAGGAATTCCTCGATTGGGCAGAGCTACTACACATTCAGGCGAGCGACGTTTACGATATCAGGCCAGAGATAGTGGCCATGTACCTGATGCACGTCCACCAAACTGCGCAAGCAGATGAAGTAGGTCCGGGTTGTGTCACGGTGGTGAGTGCTGCTATTGCCTGCCACTTCTTTTTTGCAGGCTGCCCCTCACCACGGGAGCACCCAGCATGGTACCTCGTTCGGGACCTGGGCAGGCGCACACTGCAAGGGAAGAAGTTGCACAGGGAAAGCATGCAACCAGAGCATGTCCGCATGTTGGCTACTCACTTTGCTGGGCCAGATGCATCACTGCCAGACCTGATGATGGTAGCAGCCATATCGGTCATGTTCGCTGGTTTCCTGAGGTTCAACGACCTAGCCCAAATCTCCGTCAAGTACGACCTGCTCACCCTGCACGACACTCACATGGCCATTACACCGCCTAGGTCCGAAACGGACCAGGAGGGCAAAGGGCAGACCGTACGGATCGCGCGCGTGGGAGGTGTGGCTTGTCCAGTGGGCTTGACTGAGAGGTAGGGCTGGGAATTACGGTTACGGTCCTTACGAAATTGCGCATTACACCGTAAGCAATTACGGTGACCCCCCAAAAACACAGTAAAATGACGGTCCTTACGGTGTAATGTAATTACGGTTACCAAAAGGTCCAAATTACGGTCGGACCGCAAGCGTGCGAGCCAATACCGACGACCACACCTCGAAACATGCCATTTCGTCCCTTGGAGCTACGGGATAGTCTTAAAAAGACTATTATACATTAACCTATGATTAAATTATCACAAACGACAGCCAAAAAATGCTGAATGAGGCGAAACCATTTCAACCGGAGCACCGCGCTCGCATTGAGGACTGCATCTGGAGCGAGACTGGGAAGTCCGGCCGCAGTCCTGGGCACAGCTCCCAGCAAGGTGCTGCCCTTCATTTGGGCTGAGAAACGCTGCTTCATGGTCAGCGGCTTACCAGGGGCAGTGTCGGAGCCCGCCTTTGGCTGGATGTCACCCATATCGCGGCTAAATACAAGCTTAGGTGCAAGTAACCCTGATAAAACTATGTAAAAAGGTATGAAATAAGCTTATATATCGTTATATAAAAGGAAAGAAAGGATTTCGCTCCGACAACGAGGACCGTAAATCGTTACGGTCCACTTTGCCCCGGAACCCACCGTAAATTTCAGTATTTACGGCGTTGCGCATTACACCGTTAGCAATTACGGTCCATTTTAAGGGATTACGGTGTTTTTCCCAGCCCTACTGAGAGGCTGCTGTCGCTTGGGAACTATGCCCGTGTGTCCAGTTCCCCCGCGGAGGATGTGGGTCCGCTGCTGTGCAGGGTAAAGGCGACACAGAAAGGCCACCAGCTGCAGCAGAGGACCGGCTCTGTTCAGTCACCTATCAGCAGCCTGAGCTACACCTCTTTCCGGGAGAAAGTCACTGCCATGTGCAATGCTGTGGGCATCAAAGCACGGAATTGTTGTATTCTGGATATCAGGGGATTGGCATCCGCCGATCGGTTCTTTTCCTGCAGATACAACAAGAATCATGCCACACTCCATGCGCATCGGGGGAAACAGTGCAGCAGCAGCCAGAGGGGTATCTGAAGAGGCCTGCAAGGCCCACGGCCGATGGAAGACAGACTCAATGGTGCAGCTATACACCTGGCTTGAAGATGATGTCGCTCTGGAAACCACGCGCAACCTGGGCCTCACCTGAGCCAAGGGGCCCTCCTGCTATCTTTTCTGTCTGCAGTAGTGTAAGGCCCTTTGGCAGCCCCGGTTCCGCCTTGCCCTGTCCTAGTCGGCACCTCGAACACAACCGTACAGCAAGCCATGAAGGCTATAGGGCATAATTGTAGCTTAGATGCAGCAGGAGCGAAGCGAGTATAGCCTCTAAGCTAAGTTATGTATGGCAGCCTTACGGCTTGCCAAGAATTCGAATTTGCTATTTCAGCTGACAGCTCCATAGTTCCGGCATTTTGCCTACACTATTGGAGCTTATTGTTGCTCTCACTTCCCTCCCTCCCGCCCCAGCGTCCCTTCGTTTACAAACGGCAGGCTCGGCCCAGTTGGAGACTTAGTGACTGGGCAGCCCACTCAGAACGCCAGACACACCACTGTACAGCGATCACTGCACGGCCACAGCACCTTTAGAGCATTGCTGCACGCTAGGAATGTTGCCTGGCCAGCCCCACTGGCCATGATGTGGTTCATGCATCGCTGACGCTTCAGGTTTGCCCTCAGGGCGGGTGACAAGTGGACGCAGTTATTAATGCTGCGTTTAGTCGTCTAGTGCTGTGTGTCAGTTCTTTCGGCCATGCCGGTGTGGCCACGCTGGACAGCGCTGTGTGCACTCTAACCGCGCCATGTGGTGCTAGACTGCGCTTCAGTGCACACACGCCCCTGGCGCTCCGAGAGCAGCAGTACTGCAGTAGTGTAAGGCCCTTTGGCAGCCCGGTTCCGCCTCACCCTGTCCTAGTCGGCACCTCGAACGCAACCGTACAGCAAGCCATGAAGGCTATAGGACATAACTGCAGTTTCACGTTTGGTTTGGGCTCAAGAATGGGCCATATCCGGTTGCTTCCATCGTTTGCGGAAGCTGACAGCCCGTCGTTCTACCTCATGCGCTCAACGTTAAGCGCCGTGCCCTGGTCGCCAGTATGCCTGCCCGTCGTGTAGGTTGTATGCGTGCTCGTGTTGCAGCAGCCTCCACAGCAGGAGTGCATCGGGTTGACAGCGACTGGATGCTTGCGCACCCCACGTTTCTCGAGTTCGATCGTTTTCGTTATCTTCATCGTCGATCCAACGTCCTGCTGAAGGCCATCACTTCTCATCATGCCGTGGAGCTCGATGTTGGCCCTTGTGTCTGTGTGCACCTGCGGATTGGCTCAAGTCGACCGTGTGTTTCATTTCAACCAGCCTCTGCTGTCTAAATGTTTGTCTTTGGTGGAACACCTTGCCTTATGTGGCTAGCTGTCTGCAGTCCCATATGTAGTCATGTCTTGGCATTGGATGGAGTTGCATTTGCCTGAGCATGCCACTGTTGTGACGTAAGCAGTGTTGCAAGGGAACCTCGTGCTTGCGACTGTAATGGCACAGAGGATATTGCAGCTTTGACAGACCGGGGAAATGTGAGGAATTTGTGTTTGTATGGTTTAGCTTTGTTCAGTACGACTTTGCGTCGTGCAAGGCTTTGCCAGACTATTTAAGGCATCCCTACACCATTTTTTTTGTAAGCTTAGTATTCTTCTCTTCCTTCTCTCTCAGCCAGCTCCTGATGTCGGGCTCTGCAGACCGGGCAAGGTAGGAACTAATGCTTCCTCCAGTCGCCAACTGGAGCCATTTCCTTCTCAGCCTGAAAATGAATTATGCCGAATTAAGCCGAATTTTGGCTGCGGGTACTGTGGTACGGACCCGCAGGACCCGCCTTATTTGCCGACCTCTGGTCACCGAACAGGATTATACCTCCAACATACAGATATGCATACAGTCTCACGAGCAACAGTAACGTAATAGCTTATTGGACACAGGAATAATCACGATCACGAATTTTAGGTGGCGGTAACTGACAACTCCGACGGCAACCAGCTTGTGCCGTTTCAAAGATTTTATCCCATAGCATAGCTGCTGCAGCGTCATAAGCTGCGATAAATTCATGTGTATATCTGCCTATCCGTGCAGTTGTAGCGTGTAAAGTGTGGGACCCTCTATCCCTTGAAATGGAGCGATAATCCAGCAACAACGTACACCATGAACTTTCTTGAGTTTTTTTATTTGTTTTTAGTGTTTTGAGTGCTTTACAGGGTATTTCCACTTGGCCGCACACTAACTTTTGGACATTATCTTTAACGTGGACTTAGTGTGTGGCAGTGGACAGGTGTTTCCACTAAGCGCCCCGGAACCATACGACAGGTTGCTATAAAGGCACCAAACCATTGTTATAGTAAGAGTGGGTGTAATTTAATGCGCAAATCATTACAGTTTGGTCGGCAAATTGCTGGAATGTGGGCAATTCGACCGGTCCTGCTGTGAATTCCACTGGTTAGCGGGCTATTTGCGGCTGTGGATAAAGGAAAATACAAAAGCCAACGTAGGGCCATGAAGAAGGAAAATGGCTGACTATGAATTTTCCCGCTCGGAAGTTAATGTCCACTTTGAAAGTTATCAGCAGGTCTGAGGCCCTGATAACTAGTGTGCCACTAAGGCGGACTTAGTGTCCGAGGCGTTTCCAATGGGCCCTTCGGCTTTTCGCGTACGGAGCCCCTTTACGCGATTTTCTTAAAGAACTTTTACTTTCTATTAATGTATTTAACTAGTGTAAGGTTTTGCAGTTCGTTAGCGCGCGCTTCTGAGACCATGTCGAAACTTCGGAGCTAGTGGAGCTTGATCCTGTGGTTCTCCGTGTGAGACAATGGCGCGCTATTATGATTATTTAAGCGGACCATTTTATGAACATTGTAAGTCTAAGTTGATATTGAAAAGCCCGATCTTCTGTGCTTACGCAAGTATATCGGCCAGTAAAGTCAGCTTACGCTTCCCAGTTGTTAGGAGCGGCCTGGTTCCCTTTCAATTGGTATCAGAGCCTAGGTGATCCTTCTCGCCGAGCTCTTCATCGTCGTCGCCATCGTCTTCGTCGTCATCGCGCCATCGCGCCATCGCGCCATCGTCTTCGCCTTCATCACATCGTCTTCGCCTTCATCACATCGTCTTTGTCTTCGTCGTCATCATCGACACCGCTGACAACGTCATCGTCGAAATCATCGTCTTCTTTCACAACCATTGCTTCCACCGCCACCAAACTCGGGCGAATCGTCTATGGAGCCCTTCCTACGCTTCCCGATGTATCACCGCCCCGCTCACCCGCCCGCTCACTCTCCTGCTCCTCCGTGTCATCCATTCCTGAAGACCTACATTCCCTCCGACGACAGCACGACGATTCCCGCAGCTATCACAGACACGAAGCTACCCACCCGCAACCGATCCCCAGACCAACGCTAAACCGGCCACTAGGCCGTCGCCGGCAGATACGGTCAGCCACAGCCTGCCGACGTCGTCTGCTGTGCATACGAACAACAACGTAGCGTTTAACGTTCTTCGTCTCGCTAAAATCGTCCGTAAGCCTGCCCGTCGTACCGGCTGCAAGCGTGCTCGTGCAGCTGCAACGTCGACAACGACGGGAGCATGCCAGGCGAACATTGATTACATCCCTTTACTCTAGCGTCTACATCCGCCACCCTGTTTCCCGATACCACCCTTCACCACGTCTCCACCTCGTCTCATCTATCATTCGCTTCCGCCAACCATCCGTCGCCACCTTCCACACCTGTTAAAAACCTCATCCAACATATCTCCACTCCCCATCTAGCACCCCCACCCCAACCACCGGACCACCCTTCACCACCTCGATCCCACATAGTTCATCTTATCACCCACTTTTCACAACCCCCAAGTGGACTGGCGCACCAGCACCGCCACCAGCGGCAACACCGTCATTCCCCATTCCCCCTGCCGCTTGCATCCAGTATTCCACATCAGCCGCCTCCTCCCATGGACGGACAACGACCCAGCGCTCTTTCCCGGCCGCCCACCACCTCCACCTGCAGCCCCTACTGCACTAGAATCCCCGTATGACAGTGCAGATACCGTTGTTACAGCTGTTCGCCTAGGGTATAACAAGCGCGCACGCCCGTCCGTCATGTTCCTCGTGCAGTGGTCCGCAAGTAGTAAACGCGACCCCTCATGGGAACCATACGACGACGTGCACAACCTGCCAGCGCTTCGTGCCTTCCTGAGGAGCCCAAGCTGGACCGCGTTCAGGCTATCAGATCGCTATGCGTGGTTCAGAGCCAAGTTCCCGGAGCATGCCCCAAGGATCGTACAGTTTTTGGCAGAGTAGAGCTGCGGCTGGATGTGTGTGTGTGTGTCATCATGTGTATTCGGTATATCTGTGCGTCTTCGTTCTGTTCCTGTCCGTAGATTACACCAGTCAGTTCAACGTAGTGTGGTATTACATTTCACGGTGTGTTCGCGTCTGGGTATTTGGGTTCCGTGTGGTCAGATTTAAGTCGTTTTCGTAGCAGCTTTTGCGTATTTCCGGATTCTTAAGCCGGATATGGTAGGAGTCGTGCGCCACATTTTAGGCCGGTATCCAGTGCGGGGAAGGTTTTGCCTTGACTCCGGTTCCCTTTTGCCTTCCCCTCGTTAGCCTGGTACCGATTTCGTTCAGGGAATCGGAGAGGCGCACGACTATGGCCGCTTAGTGACGTTTTCGCACCGAGGACGGTGCTTGTTTTTAAGGAGGGGAGTGTGTAAGGTTTTGCAGTTCGTTAGCGCGCGCTTCTGAGACCATGTCGAAACTTCGGAGCTAGTGGAGCTTGATCCTGTGGTTCTCCGTGTGAGACAATGGCGCGCTATTATGATTATTTAAGCGGACCATTTTATGAACATTGTAAGTCTAAGTTGATATTGAAAAGCCCGATCTTCTGTGCTTACGCAAGTATATCGGCCAGTAAAGTCAGCTTACGCTTCCCAGTTGTTAGGAGCGGCCTGGTTCCCTTTCAATTAGTTTCTTATTGCTTGCATGATTTGCTGAGCCAGGTGTGAGATTTTTTGAACTTAATGTTAAGTGTGCGGCCTAGTGGAAATACCCTGTTAGGTGTTTTGGGTGTCTTCGGTATTTTACTTGCCTTAGCTGCTTTAGACTTATAAGTATATATGCTTTTGTGCGTAAACGTTATATGGTAAATGGTCAAGATGTAGGTTTAAATATGCAAAGCTCTTTACTGCGGAACGGAAACGCCCGCTCCGAAGCCAAGCCACAGTGTAGTGAGCCTGCAGAAACGTGAGGCTAACCTAATCACTATTAGTATTGAATATAAATATCGTTTCAGTCCTTTATGATCATCTTAAGGACCATAAAACTAGGTCCTGACCCTTCATTATCGCGCCTTCACACTACCCACCACTTAAAAGCTCGATATACCCCAAAGAAAAGGAAGTTAATCATGTCGGGAATGGAGCTTAATGACATCAGCCACTTCACGGAGCTGACGGCCTGCGCCACCTGCGGGACTCTATGGAAGCGCGAGTTCAAGGGTGCACAAGAACAAATGGAGATAGTGGCCAAGAGACTTAGGCGCGAGCCTTACATCACTGATCCTCCAAACGGTGGGCGAATCATACCCTGCTCGTCTACCATGACCCATCACACGCAGGACAGGCGTGAGATTTGATTTGAATAGCATGCAATGTATAATATTTAACAAGATCTTTGTCATCCAAGAGTCGCCCTGCCACAGTTCCTTGAGATTGTAACGCTAGTTGTGTCCCTTCAATGACAGGTCATCGCATCGTGTTTTGGAAGTGCCATACATGCGGCGCTGACCATATTGATGACTCATGGGCTGAGCTGCTGGCAACCGTCGGTGTGCGGGACAACTGCTCTGCGACCACACCGTCGTACGCAAGCAGCGCCCGTGGGCTGGGCTCGCCCCGGCCCAACAATCCTTTCCAAGGCGTGGGAACATCCTCGCCCCAGCTCTTGCGGCCCCCAGCGCCCCAACGGTAGATTCTTGCTCTGGAGCTGCACCTGGGCCCCGCTCAGGCCTTGGATTGTGCCTGATCCAGAGCTCTTACACAGCGCCATGGTTCCTCCATCCTACCATTCATTGTCGAAAGTGCAATTGATGAACACCACTGGTAGTCCACGAGCGTGGATAAGCAGTGCGTAAACTGATACCACACGTGAAACCAGTAGCATCATTTCCTCGAGGCGGGGGCTGATGCTGGCATTACATTTCACACGTCCTATCGTGTGCCGTTACCCACCTTTTTCCAGCTCCACCACCCAACCGTCGGAGTTTGGATGTCGGCCCCGTAGAACGCGCGGGTATATGTGCATATCGGCATGTATGCGTGCCACGGTAAACACTTATGTCATGGTGCATATTTCGTGCCTTTGTTTGTGGGTGGCTGTATTGCAACCCAACCATCGAAGGATCGTTGGGTAGCACCCTTGGTCGCCTGGGTTGGCCCTTTGCGTCGTTAAAGGTCTATCCTTCCATTTGAGGCTGTCAGCCAACTAAGTTGACTCATGTTCCGCGGTCGCTCAGATGTGAACTGTACATGAACTATTGGGTTGTAAATGATTTGTACAAGGAGTTTGTGGGTGGTTCATGGCAGATGTTTGCGGTGCATCTTGTTCTGTGTGTGCTGTGAACAACTTGGCCGGGAGGCAGCTGTTCTCTACAGGTGTGACCATGGTTTTATCGGCGCAAGTATGGACGAGATTTCTTGTGTTTCGTTCTGCGGGAAACGGCGGGAGGCGCCACAGCATCGCGCCGCGTTCGTTGTGAGATGGCGTGTTGCATGTCGAGGGGAAGCTGTTGGTTAGAAAGGGGGCTCGGGAAGGACATCGGAAGCGGCTGCTGGTGTCAAATAGTTGACGAGTGCTGTAGGGGTAATAAGGTTAGTAGGATTGGGGGTCCTGTGACGCCTTGGACAATCGCCCCATGGTTGTTGCGGGCTGTGCGGCTTTATTGACGATTTAAGGTTGCCGCCCGTGTGTCCAGTTCGAATCACTGGTTTTGGCGCATGTATGCGTATAATTGCGGAATAAGCATGGTCATCGTTAGAGAGGACGTTGTGCGTGTCACCTGGTACTTGCGTGCATACGATGCCGTGATTTTTTCATTATAGGTTTGGCAAGGTTTACGGGCATGAAAACGGCCATCTTTATACAATTTGTGGGCATGAAAGGCAGCATGTGTACAGGAAAGCGTGGTGCATGACAACGGCTTGGCTGCCGTCGCCTGGATAAACGTAATTCTGTGCAGGAGCAGCTAACGTCTCATAAGTTGTGTAATACTTTAATGTGAAGGTTATTGGGGCATCGCTCACATCGCGCCTACCAGGCTCGGCAAGATGCGCTGGGGCAAGCCGCGGATTAGTTTTGCTGACCCCGTAAATGGCTGTGGTCTCGCCCTGGCCAGCGAACCGATAATACAGTAGCCACTAAACCCTATGTGACGTGACTGCTTCTCCTAAGCCGTAATAGCGTTTGCAAACAGGCCAGACGGTGAGGTCCAGTGTATAAGGTCCTGGTTATCCAGCTCTGCTGTAAGCTATCTAGATTCATATCCATACTTCTCGTGAAATGTCCGCATTATAGTCAACAGCATGGATTTATCTTCCCGAGGATGCAGTGCGCTCTTTGTACAGCTAGATCCAGGTACAGCTTTGAAAAATAGGTGAACAGGTTTGTAACTTCTGTGGCAGGCATCTTTGGTACATGTTTGTTGAACAGCCCACATGCTTTTATGTTTTTTATGTTTCGCGCTGCTGGCTTCAACCACTCTGCTTGGCATCGGTGCTGGTACGGGCAACTGCAAATAGGTGAAAACAATTAGAAGGAAAGTCAAAAGCAGTAGCTTAGATACACTTAGATACACAGGTATAGGACCTTGCAGAGCCTCGACGTAGACATGGCGAATTCGGTACCCGACAGGGCGCAAGCACCTAAACAGCGGCTGATGATCAGGGAGATGATCCTGGAAAACTTCAAATCCTATGCGGGGGAGCAAAAAGTTGGTCCCTTTCATAAGGTAGGAACGCCGTGGACGCCGAAGCCAGTGCCGAAGGTGCGGGGCTTCCGCCAACGTCCCTCTCGTTCGTAGTCCTTCTCTGCAGTGGTAGGCCCAAACGGCAGCGGCAAGTCAAACGTAATTGACGCGATGCTCTTCGTTTTCGGGCGAAGGGCGAAGCAGGTGGGACCGGGGTTTGCGTCGCCAGGGGCCGCTCCCTAGCCGGACGGCAGCACCCAGCTTACCAGCCCTCGTTTTCCATCTGCCTATTACCGGCGGTCTCTCCCTGGATTTATAATTACAGCTACGCTTCAACAAAGTATCGGAGCTAATCCACAATTCCCAGAACCACCGGAACCTGGAGTTGGCGCGTGTTACAGTTCGTTTTCAGGAGATTTTAGATCAGGTAGAGCTACCGGGTCGCGCTCAGACCGCTCCGGGTGCCGTGTTCAGGGGAGGTATGCTCACATGCCCATGGAACTTTCTCACAGGAGGGCGATCAGTACACCGTCATTCCGGGTTCCGAGTTTAACGTTGCACGCACTGCTCAGCGCAACAACGAGTCACACTACTACATCAACGGCCGCAAAGTCAGCACAAAGGATGTCACCGACCTGCTCAAGGGAAAGGGCATCGATCTGGACAACAACCGCTTTCTCATCTTACAGGTGTGGGTCCCCCCAAGGCGCTTTCCATGCAAATAACAAATCTAACAGCTCCTCTTCGTGCGCGGAAGCCATGACCCAAAGCGGAATTCCGTCTAAAGCAGTGGACGGAATTTTGCTTTGGGTCATGGCTTCCTCGCACGAAGAGGAGCTGTTATGCGCCAAACACTGTGTAAAAAGGAAACTTTGCGGGCAACACCGGACTACCAGAACGTCATGTACCTTACGCGTCACGCAAGTTATACAATCGCATGGCAAAATGGTCCAGGAAGACCTTCAGGAAAGCCCGAAGCCGAGCTTTCGGAGCAGCCACATGACCTGTGTGTTTGTCCCTTACCAACCGCGCTGATTCATGTCGTCCTCCTTCAGCGTCCCTTGGCATCGGGTCTTACGGGTGCAGGGTGAGGTGGAGCAGATCTCCATGATGAAGTCCAAGGCCGAAGATAAGAACGATACCGGGCTGCTAGAGTACCTTGAGGTACGCTGCCAAGCCGAGCCGGTCCATTTCGAGGCAGCGTGGTTTCGGTTTAAGTTTGGGTTTAAGCGAATCTGGGTTGAGTAGTTCCCGCTGATGTGGAATGTGGGCATGGAGAAAACTGGGGGTTATGGTCAATGCAAATCTGGGTCATGTGATGTGAAATGGGTCGTGCGATGTGGGTCAGGTCAAGCAAATCTGCTTGGGCTTAAGTTTGGTCCATGCCTTGCAGGATATCATCGGCACTGACAAGTACGTACAGCCCATTGAGGAGGCGTACAAGAAGTAAGTATTGGTGAAGGGAGGAGGGGCAGCGGGATTATGAGCCCCAGGCGAGCTTCCCGCTGCTTTACCACAGATGGCCCAACGACCTCGAGTTCACAAACACCCCCAAGCTACTACACTGCTTCTTGCGCACAAGCGAGGCTTTCCGCGCCGATGTCGCGTGCCACCGCTGCTACCCCAAGTAGAAGCCACCCCGGGCACGGTGATCCAGAGGGCTACCGCGTGTGGATACGTCAGTGCGAACCATTCTATGCCTGAAATTTCTAACGCAAAGCCGTGTATGAGCTAACTCGATTATGGGGCTGTGCACCGTGAGCTCTATCTAGGTCGCAGTTTAGAAGAGAGGGAAAGCAATTTTGAACTCGGATAAACCCTCCGCACACAATAGGCACCAGCGACAAGAGTATCCTGCGCAGCGTGCGGCCTGTCACGCGCGGCGCGCGTTGGCTGCGTTCCTGCCTGCCTGCTTCCTTGTTTCTGTTCCCTTCCTTGCAGGCTGGAGGAAGTTAATGAGAAGCGGCTGGGTATGGTCGCCCGGCTCAAGTCTGCCGAAAAGGACAAGGACGCGCTGGAGGTGAGATTTGCCGGCCGCCGGCACAGGCCGCTTCATTCACTCCTAAGCTTCCACGGAAGCAGCGCTTACAGCGACATGCGCTTGTTGCCGATTCACTGGCACCAGCGTCTTGGTGCCCATACGTCCGCCTGGGCCCCATGCAGCAGCTCGACCTCGTCTTTTGCCGAAGCGGCCATGTGAAGAGAGTAGCTTGGGCTTCGTCGCACAGTCATTGCTACGTCAGCAAAGAAAAAACACGTAAGAGAAATATTACACAAAATGCCCGCAGCTCAGATCATACAAACTCAGTTTTGCCATGGCGATGAAGGCCCCTGGTCAGCTTGGCGGTTGCTCTGTGGGCTTCGTCTTTGCGCAAATCCCCTGTCGCAGCACTTCGCCGGTCGTGTAACCAGCTATCCTGTATGCCCCTCGGCCAGTACACCTGCGGGCCTTATAGCCGCTTTGGTTATCGTTCCCCGTTTCAGGATAAGGCGCTGGAGGCGAAGCAGTACCTTGAGAGGAAGGCGGAGATGCTAAAGCTTCACATCAACGCTACACACGTGTTTGGCATGGAGGTCCAGGTAGGTTTCTGCGTGACCGCGCCCGCCTGCCATATGGCCCTTGGCTATCCTTGCTTCCGTCGCGATGGTTTCCCTTGTGTTTCAGGGGTTGACCACGGCCTCTGCCATCCGCCACTCTACGCTGCGGAATGCTGGATCTCCCCCAGTTAAACTTCGGTCCTGTCCTAACGGATCATGGGCAGCACCGCAACTCAGTCAAAACGTGTCAAAACCCGCTGCCCATTCCATCTCCTGTACCGCGCCGCTTCTCTCCGTGTTAGTGCTGCTCTCCTCACTGCCCGATGTACTCGACCTGGAAGTTGATACTAAAGATCTTAGGGTTGAGCCATGACGCCCTGTTTCCCTTGGTCCGTTGATTCCGGGCCCCGCCCACGCCCCACCCACCCTGGCCAGGTCAAACTGAAAGCCGCGGAGGCAAAGACCACGGAGCTGAAGGAGAAGCTGGCGCATGAACGCGTCAAATCCAAGGATCACGAAAAGGAGCTGGCGGCGGCGGAGAAGAAATATACGACAGCGGAGAAGGCGCATGTGGCAGTTACCAAGGCAGGTGGCGGGCCGACTGTGCTTTCACCTTCAAGCCATAGCCATGCCTTTGGTTTGGTAGCGAGGAGAGCGGATGCACCCTGGGTACTTGGGTGTTTCTCGTTATGTCCATGGCATGTTCATGGCTCCCACATCGTGCGTTTTCCTCGTCATCAGCCTCACTTGCCGATGTTTTTTCATGTCCCTAGGCAATCGACGCCGCAGCCGAGGCATACAAGGAGCTGGAGCGCAAGGACGCGCAGAACAACGAAACGGTCAAGGCCTTAAAAACGAAACTCAAAAAAGCGACCGACAAGATGGCTTCGGACGTGCAGCAGCTTGAGGTGCGAATGCGCATAGCTTGGGTGCCCCTGTAATATAGGATGCGGGGCAATGGCACATGAGCACGCCACCAAGCGGATGGTACATGACGTTTGTGTTGCGTAATTTGCTTTATCATATCCCGGCGGCGGTGCTTCGCCTTTTGGACTGCGCAGAAACTGGATGAGGAGAAACGTGCGTGCGAGGCTGCCGCGCCACATCTCGTAGCACAGCTGGAGAGGCTCAATGCCGACCTGGCCGAGTCAGAGGCCGCACTGGAGAGCATGAAGGAGGCGCTGAAGGGCGAGGTGGAGGGTTACCACCAACAGCTGTCGCAGGTGTGTTTCTCCCTCTCTTCCCCCTTTTCCCTTCCCCCTCACCTCACTGCAGGCGCTCCAATCCACAAGGGGCTCGACTCACCAGGGGCTTCGCGTAGGCCCGCAACGCGTGAAAGCGAGCAGGGCAGCGCAGTTTTAGGTACCATAGCCCGCAACGCGTGAATGCAGATACAGATTCGTGGGTATGGTCTAAGGATAAGCACAGCCTATGCGGCGCGGTATTGCCTTGAGCATCGTTACCCCATACCTTTACATACAGGGTACCTGGCCATGGAGAGTCTAGACACCGTCTCATCACGCCTGGTCCATTCCCACATACTACCTAGGTTCCGTCTTTTCGTTAGAACGGTAGAGCGTTGGGGTTGGGCACGCTATGCGCCCGCAGGTGCGCAACGAGCTGGCGCCCTGGGAGAAGAAGATCAGCGAGGTGCAGGCGCGCATCTCCGTGGGGCAGCGTGAGATGGAGTTGCTGCAGCGCCAGGAGACGGAGGCGAAGAAGCGCCTGGAGAAGGCCACCAAGTGAGGAGTGCAATTGTAGGATGGCGGGGTGCTGCCGTAGAATTACGGAGTTAGCGGGCTGGGCGACGATTCGGGATCTTGGCACCAAACACGTAACATGCTTGTATGTTCGGCCCTTGACTGAGCTTGCTGGAGCTTGCGGCGTTGAGATGCCCCTAGTTCGCAACGGGAGGCGAGCTGCGCAGTGTAAGCAGAAAAGATGTTGAGCCGTATGGACTGGAGCGAGGAGCTCCAGTACCTGTGTGCGCACACTGTGTGCCTTCACGGTGCCAACCAGCGAGCCTGGCCAGGCTTTGGTAGGCTGTCCAGAAGGAATACGAAGAAGGAATGCGCGCGCCATGCCATGCGATGCCCTTGCATGACCCCACGACATGCCGAGCGATTTTTGTGCCTTTTGGTTATAGGGAGCTGGAGGACGCGCGGTCAGCTGCCGGCAGCAAGGAGCAGCGAATCAAGGAGCTGGAGGCGCTGCTCCAAACTCGCCGGTAAGGCAAGGGCTGAAGGGTTGCAGGGTGTATGTCAGGTAGAGCCTCGCTATAGGGCAGGGCTGAAGGATAGGGCCGGGCCGCAAACGACGGGAATGTGCAGATCCTTTGTTACGTTTTTTGTTCCTGTTCTGGACCCAAGAGAGGATGGGAAATTTGGGAAGTAGTATTACCGCACTTGCACTATAACCATGCTGCTTGTACGGACACTGGATCCCGGCAGGGCCTGTACGGCATTTCCTGCTTACGGCAAGTGGTTTGTTGTGCGGGGATCCTGCCCTGATTGTATAGGCTTTCCATTTAACGCCATGCGGAAATTTCTTCCTGCACCCTTACCTTGGCTCGGGTGCTGTAAATGCTACACCTCTTCGGGGTATTTTGCGTACCACCTTAATGGTTGGAGGAGTCTGGCCAGCATATGCTGGAGACGCGCGTGCGCTAACCCCTTGCTCCTCGTTATTATCAGGACAGCAACCGCATAATCTACAGGCCCTCGCGCCGCTGACTAGTCACCATATTCAGTGTTTTTTCCTGGATCCCCTTCCTACGGAACCCCGTGCCGGTGCCGGTGCCGTGACTCTCTCCACTCCAGGGGGGAAATCGAGGGCCACAAGCAAGAGCTGGCCGCCGCGCAAGCAGCGGAGAGAAAGGTCGAGGAGGAGCTTGCCGTGATCCGCGAAAAGAGCGTACAACTGAGGTAAAAGGCCGAAAGGGTCGCCCTCGGGACGGGGGCCTAATAATGTTCCTGCAGGGAGGAAACTTTCCTTGGGATGCGCCCCATGTGTGCCAGGTTGTGCGTGTAGACGCGACGGCGTACAATCCGTACCTCGTGGTGTGATGTCTTGGCGGTGCAGGGAATGATGAACTCCTGCCCACAGACAGTTGTTGCTATTAGGTGAGTTGCAGGTCCAAAATTCAGCTGTGCGTTGTTCCCCCAAGTCACCCGCCCAAGCCGGACCCCTCTCGCTGTCGTCCTGCCCTTTCAGGGCCGACCTGAGTGCCAGCCAAGGCCAGAGCGGTGTCATGCGCGAGCTGATGGCGGCCAAGTCCCGCGGCGAGTTGAGTGGAATCTACGGCCGCCTCGGTAAGGAATAACTCCACTCCCCATCCAGCCGACTGCCGCTGCCCTGCTTAGGTGCCCTAGGAATAACCCAAAGCCTACGATCCTTCCCAAGTGTACACCGCGTCCTGTCCTGTCCTGGCTATGTAAGCACATGCCCGTCCAAGCACATACGGCGGCATCGGGTACATGTGAGCCCTGTCCTGGCTTCGCTTCCCTGTGTGTTAACTGTGTTACTCTCCATCTCTCCACGCCTTCTTGTCGCAATAATTTATGATCGGGCGAGCATCAGTGATCCGGTCAAAAGCATTGTTACGTCACTCACTGTTATATGCCACGTGGGGCTACATGGCACGACAGGTGACCTAGGCGCCATTGACACGAAGTACGATGCGGCCGTGTCCACTGCCGTGGGCGCGCTGGACAACGTGCTGGTGGAGACTGCCAGCGACGCGCAGCGGGCGGTCGAGCACCTGCGCCGCACCAACGCGGGCTGCGCCACGTTCCTCATCCTTGAGAAGCAGGCGCACCTGGAGCGGCCGGCATCGGAGCGCATTGAAACACCGGAAGGTGTGTATGTGTGAGAGAGAGAGGGCGACAGAGAGAGTCCGTCAGTGGCCGGCAGGAAGCTGCAGGAGCATTTGGGTTTCAGCATGAGATTGGGCTACTGCCGTTATCATTTGGCGCTGGGGACCCCTGTCACAGCATGCGGTGCTGTTAAACCCTTCTTTCGTCAAGGACCCATCAGCCAATCTACTTGACTGCATGTGTGTCTGGTGTGTCGTCAGATACGGTACTACTTAGCGGTTTGGCTTAGGGGGCCCCTAAAGTGTTGGTTGAGGTTTCCCGACGATCCCGACGATCCTTCGGGATCCACTGGAACAGCATTCAGATATTCACTACTTGGTGGGCCCTTCATCATAATGATGGTGATGATGGCCCTAATAGAAGCAGCTACCGGCAGCGTTCAGCCACTCGTTTTTGGGGGTTGGCTATCTCCCGACAGAGGATTTTGCACCAAGTTACCAAGGTGGGAGGATTGCACCTGCGGGCAGCGCCACCAGTTAACCTGACTGCCATCATCGCATCACACTATATTCCATGACGTACATGGCGATCTTCTTTCCCTCTGTTTTAATTCTCCATGGCAGCGCTGCGGGTGTTTTAATGGACTGTGTGCGGTGCAGGCTGCCCTCGCCTGTTTGACCTGATCAAAATTAAGGACCCCAAGCTGCGGCGAGCTTTCTTCTACGCCTGCGGCAACACCCTGGTGGCCAACGACCTGGAGCAGGCTTCTCGCATTGCGTACGGACAGGACAGGCGCTTCCGCCGCGTGGTGACGCTGCAGGTCGGTGGAGCGGTGCGGTGTGTTAATAGTACAACGGCGATACACCATAATACGACACTCGTATGTGTCGTATTATGCGCACCTCCACGCATTAACGCTCATCCTTGCCATCTCCCATCAATATATTTCTTGTTAAACCATATTCCCGTCTCCTCGCCTGTTCGTGCGGTAACGTGCTGCTGCAGGGGCAACTCATTGCGGACAGCGGCACCATGTCGGGTGGTGGCAGGCCGCAGACGGGTCGCATGGCGCTGGGCAACGCGGCGCCGCGGGGCGCTGCAACGGACGCCCGCGCAGCTGAGGCCGAGCTTCGGGAAGTTGATAAGCAGGCAGACCAACTGGGCCAGGTAAGTGAAGGGCACCAGAGTCTGCACAAGTTCGTATAACCGTGTACATGCAGCAACACCGAGCGAAATCCCAACTGCAAACCCATATAGCTTCCCCCATATGGTGCATGGTGGAACGTGGCGTCAATGGAACAGCCACTGAGCACTAGGGACTAAACAGTACCTGCCTTCCGCTGCGGCCCTGGCGACAATGGCCGTACGTACGTGCTATACTCAACATTTTGAGATGTGCAAAGATCCATGTAAGGGAATGGCCCTTCGCCGAACACAAGGAGCCTGAGATCCCAATGCCCTTCTGGGCATTCTCCTGTCCTTGGCAAAGTCCACACGGCTTTCTGTTCCGACTGGTCACAGGCGCTCCAGGCTGCACGACAGCGGGTGGCCGCGTCCCAGACCGCCCTGCGGGGAGCTGAGAAGGAGCTGGCGGTGCTGGAGACGGACCTGCCCAAGGTGAGTCACCAAAGGACGGTCCAGGCGCATGCACCCCACGACTCCACGGGCCCACGCTCCAGGCACATCAACAGTTCAATATCCAGAAGAGTAACGTTAGCCTTGTGGTGCATTGTGCTCTAAACCAGAGCTTTATAGACAGGGCTGATAATAGCCGGCACATTGGTAAGCACCGAGCTGCAGGCCAAAATGGGTTCCTCTGCGTCTCGTCCGTGTCACCGTGCGTCACATGTGGGTATCAGTTGTGTGTACATAACGCATGGACATGGTCCTGCACTCTCGTTCCGAAACACCGCGGAAAAGGTTTCCATCAGCCGGTCGCCACTATTCGTGTGGGTGGATGTGGCCACCCGTTCGCAGATTTTTGACGGTCCCTATGCTTTGTGCTGCTGTGGTGGACGTGTAGGCACGCATGGAAGCTGAGGCCAACTCGCAGCGGGCAGCTGACCTGGCTCAGCGCATGTCCGGTCTGCAGGAGGCAACTAAGGTAGGAATGCTAGCAAAACAGCCTCCTGGCTAAGTTTGGCTGTGTGAGGTAAGTAGCAACAAAAAGTTCGAGGACGGATTCGCTCTGCCAAGGTCTGGGCTCTTACCTGAATTTTAACAAAATCCCAAAGGGCTTACCACGACACGCCGTGATACCACACAGGTGGACGCGGCGGATGCTTCTCGGATCAAAGAGCTGCACGTTGCCGTGTCCAAGGAGCAAGTCAACCTGCTCACTCTCAAGGAACAGTGCGCCGACCTCGAGCGGAAGGCGACCTCCATCCAGAATAAGATCACCAACGCAGGCAGGTTCTCATTCCCGTCCTTGCTTTCCAGTTAAGGCGGGGATAGTTGCGACATGTCACGATCAGGCTTCTGTGGCGACGGCATCGATGCAGGTTTGGGCTGCTGTGTGATTGCTGTTGGGCCCTGTATGGGTCATGTCCCATGTGTCTTGTTTCACATGCTAGATCATGCGGTATAGCACGCGATCCAGGCTGAGATGCGGGTTGAGGCGTACGTGATCTTCTGTTTCCCAAGGTGGAAGTTCATACGGATAGTGTATAAACACGCGTCCGCAGGTGGCGAGAAGCTGCGCTCGCTGAAGACCAAGGTGGAGAAGGCACGCAAGAAGATTGAGGAGACGGAGGTGCGTCATGGTGTCGGGCTGTATCTTACACAGTAAAGGGCAAAGGGTTGTGTTGTGCTGCAGGTTGTGTTGACGATTTCATGCACTCTTAAGGGTTCCTGCCAAACAATTGGATTCCAAGTTTTACTAGACGCACCCTGTATGCACTCACACCCGCTGTGGCACCATAGCCGTTTCGAGGTGCATTTGCTGAAGAACACGGCATGACCATGCATATACGATTGCGTTACTGCCCATCTACAGGCCGACATCAGCAAGAAGCAGGTGCAGGCCAAGTCCAACGGCAAGCAGATCGAGAAGATCAAGAAGGAAATCAGCAAGCAAGGTACGTTCCTATCCCTGCTTGACCTGTTCCGCGACCCTTTCCTGCCATGCCTGCAACACCCACCGTCGGTTGCGCGTCCGGGCCCCATTACCCAGGCAAGGACAAGGAGAAGCTGGAGGCCGAACTTCAGGCCTGCGCGGACGTTGCCAAGAACATTGAGGACGAGGCGGAGAAGGTAAGGAAAAGGAGGCCAGGGATACTTGCTACTGCCGCTTTGAGGGCCTTCCGGTCTGGAGGCATGCTTTGTAGCCTTATAGCGACGTGCATGGGTTTATGCTGGTGCAGGCAACCAGCCGTAGGGATCATCCAGGGGCTCATGCAACATATCTTGCCTCCTAGCTATGTGCTGCCTGGACGCACGGCGCACCTGCGTATGAGCATGTTAAACGAGGGAAACCTTTCCGTTCAATATCCACCAGATCCTCCTCAAGAAGCAAGAGCACGAGGCGAACGGCAACGAGACCGGGGCGCAGTTGGAGGAGGCCCGCGACGCGGTAAGGGAGGGATGAGACACATCCCTAGTTACAGCAGCGTGTTTACCAATTAACGGAGCTTCAGTGCGCGCCTGGGCTGGCCTTCTGTCGCGCCAACCACTTGCTTGTCGATAAAGCGCGTTGGCACTGGCTCACAACGTTTGCGGGCGTTCCCCGCATTCACTCGCGCTCAGTCACTAGCTATGCTCCTCTTGGAATAACGAATTTCCCTTGTTTATGGCATCCGCAGCGCGACCTGATTCGACGGAATTCCGGCATTATTAAGCAGACGACGACCGCCCTCGAGGAGGAGCTGGAGAAGATGGGCAAGATTGCCAAGGAGGAAAGCAGAAGAGGCGACGAGCTGATGGAGCAGCGCAACAAGCACCGGAAGCAGCTGGCCGAGGTTCTCGGTATGTCTTTCCCCTGGAGCTTGAATTCAGGAATTCACATGGCATTCCGCATGCAAAAGTCGGCAGATAATCGTTTTTATTGCACTTGGCGAGCTGAAGACAGGGATTGACACCTGAAAGCTCCCTAGTTATAGTGGACAAGCCCCATTCCTGCTGCTCCTGATGGGGAGCAGTCCCTGTCTCTTCTTCCTTACGTCTATAATGGATCGCGGATCGGGGTCCGGTGCCGCAGGCAACGACGACTACACGGTGGACGAGAATGAGTTGCGCGGAGATACGCCTGATTCCGGCCTCGCCGCGCTGGCCGATGATATGATTTTGAAGGTGCGGCGGCAGCTCTGCTAGTTCAGGCCCCTCCCCCCTCCCCGTGGCGGCCGCACGCAAGCGCCAAGCTTGGTGCCGTGCAGTGAGACCGTCCTCTCCTGCGTCCTTCTTCGTGCCCCTCTGCCAGTCCTAGATGCTTAGAATCTGACCCTGATCCTATAGCATCTGTGACCATGCGCTTTCCGACGATGTACGTTGGCTTAATAGGTTGCGTACCCATACTTGGCGCCTCAACAGTAATGCCAGTCCCTTACGGCTCTTGGAAAGTCCAGCAACCCGTTGCTACGCTTTTTTCTCTCTGTTCTGAATGAGCCATGTACATCACCTCTGCTGGCTGTTTTATGTCCAGGCCACGTTGCTATATGCGGACCTCCAGAAGTTAAATCCGGATTTGATGGCCATTGAAGAGTACAAGCAGAAGGTGAGGCAGGGCTCAACCAGCGACGCCTGGCGTCGTTCGCGGCGGTGCTGACATGGTCTCGTATGGTGGGCCCCTGCCACAGAATGTGTATGTGATGGTGATGTACAATGTAGTGCGGTATTGTTGCTTGGATGTCATCACAGGAGGCGGTTGTGGGGCCACCGCAGAGGCAGGCCGTGCTTCGCATATGCTGTTGGCATTAACTTTCGTCGTTCCATAGCAATTTCGGCCGGCCTTGGCGCCGGGAAGCTCCTAACATAATTGGCCCGGCAGGGACCTCTCTTGTGTCAGTCCACTATGTCGACGGCTTGGACGTGGTGATGAGTTGTGTTTCTTCTCGGGAATCTTTGTCGTGCAGATGGCGGAGCACGCTGAGCGAGCCAAGGAGCTCGAGGCGGCAACCGCAGAGCGTGACAAGGTCCGTGCGTAGGATCGAGTTGGGCATCGCAACTAGGAGCAACGACCCAGGGGAGAAAATTTTGCCCCTATCCTTCAAGTCCTGGCATCCCGCCCGCAATCTAAGCGTTTGCCCCTTCCTGAGGTGCATCAAGGAACCACTTCTCGTGGATCGGTGCATTAGCACCCTATGAACCCCGGAATGCGTGTCATTATTTAATTCTCTTGTCACGTGGTGGTAAATTCATGCTTAGAGTTCCATTTCTAGAATATGAACACATACCGATTGACGACAACATTGCGCGTGTCACGGGTTACCCCGCAGCTGCGGAAGGAACACGAGGCTCTGCGCAAGTCACGGCTCGACGGCTTCATGGCAGGCTTCGAGGCAATCAGCCTTCGCCTCAAGGTGCGAGGTCTGGGGCTTGCTGGCAGCCTTTCTCAGCTGCCGCACTCGACAAGCACAATGCACTTTGCTAAGCAGTCTGCTGTTGCGCTTCTGCTCCATGGTTCCTTTTCCAGGAGGTGTATCAAATGATCACCTGTGGAGGCGACGCGGAGCTAGAGCTTGTCGATTCGCTGGACCCCTTCTCGGAGGCAAGTGTTTATGTTGGGACAGCGGGGGAGAGCTTGCTTGCAGTCATAGTCGAATTGTCGTCTCGCGGTGGTCGACTCGCGGGGCGGAAAGAGGCTCTCTGCAACTTGTTTCCGTGTCGCATCGAGTGTAGTGCGTGCGGTGAGTAACTTTCTTACACTCAACGCAGGGAATTGTCTTCAGCGTGCGGCCACCGAAGAAGAGCTGGAAGAACATATCAAACCTGTCAGGCGGCGAGAAGACGCTGAGCAGCCTGAGCCTTGTCTTTGCGTTGCACACCTACAAACCCAACCCGCTGTACGTCATGGATGAGATTGACGCCGCGCTGGGTAAGTCGAATGGACCTGAAGGCGGTAACGCAGCTGGGGCCTAGAGGACGGCTGTGGCAGACATGCATGCATCATAAAAGCAGGATGGACACCCTGGGCGAATGGGCATTGCTGCAATAGGCAGGCAAGTTGTACTCCAAAGTACCATGCGATCCGGTTGCCACCCATGAGGCACTGCCCCTTCTTCCGGATTCGCGACGAGCACTTGCCCCTGAAAGAAGCTTACCTGGCTTTATGATTTTCCCGCCAACGTGCAGACTTCAAGAATGTCTCCATCGTGGGCCACTACATTAAAGAGCGCACCGCGGGCGCCCAGTTCGTCATCATCTCGCTGCGCAACAACATGTTTGAACTGGCAGAACGGCTGGTGGGCATCTACAAGACGGACAATGCCACCAAGACGGTCGCCATTAACCCAGGTCGCTTCGCGTTAGTGAAGCCAGAGAAGGAGGAGGATCAAGAGCAGCGGCCCCCGGGCTTCATCCAAGTGGCGAGCGGATAAGGTGCTCAGGGTATTATTTGATGCGTCAGGGATGGCCGCCGAGCATGCGGCGGTGTTAGGGTTTCGAAAACTGCAGCGTATCACGAGCATATTACTGGCCTTGATGAGCCGGAATGACTGCGCCGGCTTGAACCAACGAAACTGACCATGACGGGCAGGGCCACTTGCCATTGCATGTACGCTTCTTAAGAGGCCATGTCCACATGTCTTTTCGTAATTGCGCATCAAGAGCACTGCCGCTGCGCAAATCATGCAGCCATATGTACTGCAACGCATTACCAGAGAGCAGGCAAAGCCACTTACGCCGACGCATGATTCGGTGTGGTCACCTTGGTCAACGGCGATTGCGTTCATGCCAGGAGATGGGGCCATAATTGTGCTGTTTTGCCCCTTGCGACAGTTTTAGGCACCAGACAAGGCATTCCAGAAAGTGAGAGGTGCGTGAAAATGTTGACAACCAGTGGAGATCCCGGAATACCGCAGAAGCACTGCATTTGAGATGCGTGGCTAACGAGATTACACATACCCCGCTCCGTAAGACAGCCCCAGGCTAAGAGGGGCGGTCACGGCATCCCAAACGTCAGTTCACTGTACAACTAGAGTGGGCAGCATGGTGTTGCCACGTGCCAGTTGCGCACGGCGATATAGTAGTCCTCCGCACGGCTGCCGACGGCTACTGAGCACCGCAGGGCAACCTTCACAATTGGCAAATTAGACTACATTTTTCTCCTTTCCTTTCATCAAAAAGTCAAATAATAAGCGCTAATCCGGAGAAGCTAAGCAAACGCGTGCGTACCACGTCGTTCAACAAAAAAACGCGTCTATATACGTAATGCTCTCAAGACATATGCGCAGACCAACGCTCTCAAAGCGGACATAGCGAGAACACCAGTCCAATTACTGAAGAAATCTTATGTTCGTTATGTACCGAAGAGATGGCATGCACGCAGCACAGCCGCAGTCTTCCATGCGTTTTTGAAGGCCCACCGAAAGGCTCGAGCACTGAGTGCTCACCCTCAGTGTCTCGAGGAGTCCGAGCACCATTTCATGAGCTTGTTCCAGCTAGCACCATGTGCTCTTCCGCCACAGACGTCATTAAGCACAAGCCGACATCATGCAGCCCACCTCCGCCCTTCAGAACTAGGCGGAGGAAGAAATTGTCCCATATTTCGGGGCAACTAACGGTCAGCCGCAAAGCCGCTACTTATTTGCTGCTATGACGTCATATATGCATACCTGCTGCTTGCTACTGCCGCAACCGCTCAAACACAAGCCTGCATACAGCAACCGAACGACACCACTTTGGGCGGGGTATTATTTGGCAGATCGCCTATTCGCCAAAAATCTTGCCATAGACGGTGCATAGCATATCCAACAGTAAGAAGTCCATAGCGTCGCGTTGGCCGAGCCAGCTTTTTCCTTCCGCGGCTGCTTTTTCTCTCCGTGCCAGCTGAACCTCGGCTAACGCTCGACAAACTGCAGCTGCTTCTCCTTTATCCGTGTCGCCTGCGATGCAACCCCGTATTCCCATGGGAGCGTCAAGCAACAGTCATGCCTTGGCATGTGACATCCAGACCAGACGAGGTGATATCCAACGAGATGAGTACTGCAAACCAGCACATGGCTTGAACATCGCCACTATATAGGACAACACCAAAAGACACCATGAACCTGGGAGCATGTGCGCGCGTGAGACGCGCAAAGGGGCAACCGACTGACCTCAAGAATCACGGCATCCGCGGACACCACAACCGCGCTTTCGCCTGGCGTGCACGCTATCCCAGTTTCCCTGTGAATCTGCTTTAACCTTGGAATGTGGTTCCCGTCACTGCCTAGTGTTTCATGTACTGTACTGTGGTCATACCTGCAATACCCGGCCGCGGGCCAGTCGCTCGGTAAGCGCCTTTGTCTCAGCCTGCAACGTTAGGCAGGGCCTGGAATATTCACTAAAAGGAGCAAATCAGCCCCTTTCCAGGCGCCGCAGAGCAGCCACACGAGGGACAGGACTCATTCACTAAAGCAATGCATTCACCTGCTTACAGCCATTACTTGCCCAAATACGCACCTGCAGCCGGCGTAGATTCTGGGCCGCCTTGATGTGCCGCCAAACCGCCTACAGAATAAGCGAGAATGCGTCATGGCACCTTGTAGACGTCCAGACCACAGGCCACGGAAGACCATGTACATGGTACCACGAGCATGTGCTACACGAGCATTCGTGTATAGCCGCTATAACGGCGGTGGCAGTGAACTCAGCTTGCTTCAGCGCATAGTATCAAGTTACAGCGACCAGCCCGCCCCCCACTAACGATCCCCGCATGCAAGAGCCCAGGAACTAAATCAAACCCGACACGCCACGGCTACAAAACTAGAACAGAACGCGCTTCAGCCCAAAATCTCAAAGCCTCGCACCGCAGGCTCCCAGGGCTTGCCGTCCTTGTCACTTTCGTTCCAAATCTTGGGCTGTGCATCCTCAGCCACCTGTGTGTACGTTCATGTAAGAGCATGGGCGCGTTTCATGCTGAAGGTCCATAGCCCGTTTCACAAGCAAGCAGCATGACACTTGGTCTTCTCCAAAGGTACTAACTACACTTAAGGGAGGACTCGACGATGCAGCGATCATGGCCATACACCTTCAGAGGCCTCTCGGGCGTTGTCCGGAAGGGCTCCCCAAACATCAAACGGCATTTGGATACCGTGGCCCCATGGCGCCATAGGCACAGGTCCGCCCCACGACCCCGGCTAGAGCCGCCCGCTCTCACCTTGAGGCGCAACCGGCATCCGGTATCCGCAAGCGGCAATAGTCCCTTCCCCACACGAGCTAACAGCCCGCGGTCCGATGCCTCCCAGTCATCCAACCGCTCGCACACCACCACCTGATGAGTAGAACGCACAATGATGTATCAGAGCTTTATATACTGCCACATACACATGATGCACATCCATATACTTGATGCGAACAAAACGCAAGCGGCGGAAGTAGCGTCCGCATGTGTGGGAGAGCGTGCACGGGGCCAAAGGCCGTCTGCCAGAACCTTCCACATGCTGCTCCACATGTAGCACACAGGGGCACGCTTTACAGGGGCCGTTAACGACGGCCGTCTTACACCTCCTATAAAGCGAATCTCCAGGTCAGAGCCAGGTTGAAGCAGTCGAACAACCCCATTGATTATTCCCCGCACCTCCAGGACTCTAAGCTGGCCGCAAGCCAGTGGAGCGCCGCCTCCGCCATCTCCGCTGCTGCTGCTACACATTACCAGTCGTGGACATCTACGCAAAGCGCCCGCTGCCGCTCTTAAAGCCGCAACGGCGTCCGCCGGTTGGGCCGGCCCTGAGATAGCCGCCGCAGCAGTTGTTGTCGTTCCTGATGCTGCAAGTTGCAGCGGATGGCCCGGGGCCGCATTACCCACGTCCGACATGCCGTCCGCCGCCGCCCCACCTGCGACAATCCCGCTGCCTCTCTCAACCCCGCTCAGCCCTTGTGGCCATGGGCCCTGTTCAGCGTGTTGCTGCTCGCGCTCCTGACATGATGCCGAGTTTTGGGCTGCTGGCTGCTGCTCTTGCGCAGCCGCCGGCGACGCCACCTGTTGTGGCTGCCGCCATGGCAGCATGTCCAACAGCTGCCGCCAGTAGCACTCTTTCAGCCGCAGCTCCTAGGACAGCATCAAAGCCGGGAAGGCCGGCAAGAGAAAAAGGACGAAGCGTCAAACACACCAACAGGAAACGCAAGTAGACGGCACTAAAGGTCCAGCGCACCCGACAAAACTTGGCTTTACTCCTAAAGCATCGTACAAGGTTACCGTACAGTTTTTAACTTCCACACGCGCCCGGTTACCAACCGCAAGCAACCCCTCCTCCTAACAGCATCGGCCCAAGCTTCCTACAAACGGCGCAGCGGTGATAACCAGCAGCAGCAGCAGCAGCAGCAGCTGAGTCCTGGTCAATGGTGTTCACACAGCGGGGATACCATTTATGCCCCTGGTCAGCGTCACATGCACACTTATTGCATTCACCCGGCACACGCGCGGGGTATCGGAATGCAAATATATACCCACCTGTAGCGCTGGCAGGTGCTCCCCAGCTCCGGAACCCAGTGCAGCCAGCTGTGGACGGGGAAGGGGGTGGCGGGGGAGTGTGATCGTGCTGTTGGTGGTGAGAAAAAGGGCCCTGGAAGTGGTCCGGGTATTGGGGAAGAGAGGCGGAGAAGAAGAGTCGCACAGGGCAGGAGCCGCGCGGGGATAGTTAGGGCGACCACTGTAATTGTAGGTCTTAGTAGGCAGTTGGTTCAGTCTAGGTAGGTTCGGAAGGAACCGGCACCATTACGTGTCATTAGGCGTAAAGTGAAAGACACACACACACACACACACACAACACACACACACACACACACACACACACACACCGGACTCGGACACGTTGACTATGTTGTTAAGGTCCTATGTGTACGGGGAGGAGGTGCCTGAATGCGCACAGGGTTCCGTGCATGTGGGGAACTAGGACTCCGCGGCTCACCACAGCCTGTCAGCTTTTAGGGTTTCGTCCCAATCCACGTTTTCGTGCCCCGCATGCCACTCTCCCTGTGAACGGTCCATTTTCTGTTTAGATAATTCAGCCCGTTCGCCCGTTCAAAGACAGCAATGCAATCCCGACGGCGGACTGCGTGGGAAGCTCCAGATGACAAACATCCCCTCGCTGGGCAAGAACGCGGGATTCCCATCATGGTCCAAGCGCGTCCCAGATCCCGCTGTAAGGAGGGTTCAGCTCCCTTGGCATCTCCCAACTGAGTACTCTTTGCCTGCTGGTGTTGCAACCGCGGTCTCCAACACCTTGGTGAGAGTTGGTGCGCTACTAGGGCGGAAATTGTCGGAAATGTAACCTTTGTTTCCATAGGATTACCATATCCGGGTTCAAATCCGCCTGCCGACTCCTCGGGTGTTTGAGGAGTGTTGAAATGGGAGGTGGCCCCCCATCTTATGGACGGTGTGGGATGTGATAATATC